GTATGACAAGAAGGACTATCAACAAATAAATAAATAATAATAATATGCTGTCAAGACAGTTCTAACTTATAGTGACCCCTTTCAGATCTAAATCTGTCATATTAAGCAACGTGCATAGAATCCCTTTACACAAAGTAGGGTACTAATGAAATTGTTCCACAGGTCTAAAAACTTGTGTGACATCATAATGAGCAACATTTTAACAATCACTACATTTTGACTCTCCTGGATTTCCAAGTAGAATACCAAGGACGTTTTGCGGCTTTGTCGGCTTGTTCATAGTTCATCTCCGCTTGTCTTCACCAGAGTAATGTCTTTAAGATATGTGGGTCTCTAGACTACCAGGCAGCATGTCAAAGGTCTGAGTTTATTGGGTCTGTTGGGAGCTGCAATCCATGACATCTGTATGTACGAAGGTGGGTTAGTCTGCTGCATGTGTTTCAAGTTATGAAAAACCTGGTACTGATTCATGAATTCTGACCCAATTGAAAATGCCAGGAAGTGGCTCAATAGCATCCCTGCATCACGAGCAGGAAAATGGATGGCAAGCTTTTCATTGCAAAGGGCAGCCTGGATGTTGACAACACTGTTGGGAGCAGTCCAGATGGTTTACTTCAGGGGTCCCTGACCCCCGGTCCGTGGCACAATGCCAGTCCATGGACTTCCCAGGACTGGCCATGGAGACGGATCTCCGCTCTTCTGCCCACCCACATGGTGGGCATGTCATGCTCACAGGTGGGCGTGTCACACTTGCAGTGGCCGTGTTGTGCTAGTGGAGGGTGTGTCGCACTCATGGGGGGCATTTCATGCTTGCACGCATGTGCATGAGTGTGACACACCCACCCGCGAGCAGGACACACCCACCCCTGAATGCAGGGGTGCCCCTGCCCTCCCCGCATTCAGCCCGTCCCCCAACCGGTCCACGGTTCCAAAAAGATTGGGGTCTGCTGGTTTACAGGATACCATCTTGTGCTCACTCTCAGAGACACCAAGCAAGAGAAAATCCTAGAAGCTGACTCCTTTTTTAAAAAAAAAATAGTTAACCACTTCTCACCCAAAGTTAAAGCACTTTTCAGGGTTGTTTCTGACAAACGTGAATGATAAGTTTGATTTACAACACAACACAACAACAAGTTTGATTTGTCACTGAACATTTCTGTGGATATTGCTATATTAAACAATGCATGAACTCATTTAATCAATGTACTGACCCATTCTGTTGCTCAGAGAGGGGATAAATTATATTCCACCAAGTATATGGCCAATTCCCTCTGAACAATGGAAATGGATTTGGGCTCACTTTTGCCCAGTAATAATCAGTAAAAACCTCAGGACAGAAATATTGGTCCATCAAGGTGCCCAAAGATGAGGTGGAGAAACATGTCAACCCTTGTCCACCACCACATTCCTTCTGTTGGAGGTACCAGGAATGAGAAGAGTAAATACAATGAGCCAAGCAGCCAACCTCTAGTGAACCATTAGCCGTCCAGTTGAAACACTGGTGGAGGCAGTGTCAGCAGGCATGCAATGTATACAACAGCTCTAAAGACCTGTTGTTTAAGAAGGGTCTTTAGAAATATTTTTACTCAAGTACAACTAAAATGCTAACTAGTATGCCTTGTTTGATATACAATCCCAGGGCCTGCATATTCATAATCCAAGTGATCTCACATGAAGACAATGATTGAAATCTTGATGTGTTGTTATACAGTGGACCCTTGACTTACAGACGGCTTGACTTACAGACTTTTTGAGTTACAGACTTCTCTGGCCGCAAAATTTAGGTTTGACTTGCAGACTGAGATTTGACTTACAGACCAGAAAAAAACTAAAATGGAACAAAAACGGCCTGTTACGGGGTTAATCGGTTTTCAATACACTGAATCCCAGGGCCTGCACATTCATAATCTAAGTGATCTCACATGAAGACAATGATTGGAATCTTGATGTGCTGTTATATAGGAAACCTAATCTTTCGAAGGTGAATTGTTTAAATCAAGACATTCATAATCTAAGTGATCTCACATGAAGACAATGATTGGAATCTTGATGTGCTGTTATATAGGAAACCTAATCTTTCGAAGGTGAATTGTTTAAATCAAGAAATCTCTATAGGCATTGTCTCTTGTATACTGAGTCATGTAATTCAACATGCAACAGATAAATGCCTATGAACATTTCTTAATTTATGGCAAACTGCCTCTAAAAGTGATGGTTTTGTTTCGGCCTGTGAGTTCTAATTTTGCAACATGGTTGACAGCAAAGGTCCGCCCTAAGCTTCTCACCTAAACTTTCGAAGGTGAATTGTTTAAATCAAGAAATCTCTATAGGCATTGTCTCTTGTATACTGAGTCATGTAATTCAACATGCAACAGATAAATGCCTATGAACATTTCTTAATTTATGGCAAACTGCCTCTAAAAGTGATGGTTTTGTTTCGGCCTGTGAGTTCTAATTTTGCAACATGGTTGACAGCAAAGGTCCGCCCTAAGCTTCTCATGGTATGTCTGTTTTTAAAAAGCTTTCAATGTATTTGGCATGTTTTATAAGAGGCTGACCAATTCTATGAAGACGTACCACACCTTCTGGAACTGACACCAAAGAAAGATGTTCTTGTCATTATGGGGGACTGGAATGCTAAAGTAGGGAGTAAAGAGATAAAAGGAACAGCAGGTAAGGTCCATATAGTCAAAGCTATGGTTTTTCCAGTAGTGATGTATGGAAATGAGAGCTGGACCATAAAGAAGGCTGACCGCCGAAGAAGTGATAGTAGGTCTGTTTTTAAAAAGCTAAGTCCTGGCTTTCAATGTATTTGGCATGTTTTATAAGAGGCTGACCAATTCTATGAAGACGTACCACACCTTCTGGAACTGACACTAAAGAAAGATGTTCTTGTCATTATGGGGAACTGGAATGCTAAAGTAGGGAGTAAAGAGATAAAAGGAACAGCAGGTAAGGTCCATATAGTCAAAGCTATGGTTTTTCCAGTAGTGATGTATGGAAATGAGAGCTGGACCATAAAGAAGGCTGACCGCCGAAGAAGTGATGCTTTTGAACTGTGGTGCTGGAGGAGACTCTTGAGAGTCCCCTGGACTGCAAGGAGAACAAACCCCTATCTGTTCTGAAGGAAATCAACCCTGAGTGCTCACTAGAAGGACAGATCCTGAAGCTGAGGCTCCAATACTTTGGCCATCTCATGAGAAGAGAGGACTCCCTGGAAAAGACCCTGATGTTGGGAAAGTGTGAAGGCAAGACGAGAAGGGGATGACAGAGGATGAGATGGTTCGACAGTGTCACTGAAGCTACCAACATGAATTTGACCCAACTCCGGGAGGCAGTGGAAGACAGGAGGGCCTGGTGTGCTCTGGTCCATGGGGTCATGAAGAGTCAGACATGACTAAATGACTAAACAACAAATGGTTGCCACATTTTATGGCTTCTTTTTTCTATATGTGATGCAGCCTCAAATTAAAGAGTTGGATTCATACAGCGCTTTACTGCTTCTCAATTCAGTCTTGTTATATTTCGAATCTTGATGTTTCAGTTTGAGCTGGATGCCCAGCCTGTGATCTCTGAATATTTTTTAAAAAATATTCAACGTCTGCAAAACAAATCCCATCCAGTCACCATCTATCTTCGAGGAGTACAATAGTAATTTCTTGTTGACATCTCTTTAATAGAGTTCCAACGTCTGGACTGTGGGATGCTAAGCATTTTCAGGTAATCGGTGGCTTCTTTTCTACATTTGATGCAGCCTCAAATGAAAGAGTTGGATTCATACAGCACTTTCATCGTCGTTGTCGTTTAGTCATTTAGTCGTTTCCGACTCTTCATGACCCCATGGACCAGAGCACGCCAGGCCCTCCTATCTTCCACTGCCTCCTGTAGTTGTGTCAAATTCATGTTGGTTGCTTCTCAGACACTGTCCAGCCATCTCATCCTCTGTCGTCCCCTTCTCCTCTTGCCGTCACACAGTGCTTTACTGCTTCTCAATTCAGTCTTGCTATATTTCAAATCTTGATGTTTCATTTTGAGCTGGATGCCCAGCCCGTGATCTCTGAATATTTTAAAAAAATATTCAATGTCTGCAAAACAAATCCCATCCAGTCACCATCTATCTTCGAGGAGTACAATAGTAATTTCTTGTTGACATCTCTTTAATAGAGTTCCAACGTCTGGACTGTGGGATGCTAAGCATTTTCAGGTAATTGTTCATTAAAAAAAACTTGACTTAAGAAACTTTGACCCAGAAATTTCACAGTAGCCTTCTTACAAACCCCAATAAAGAAACTGAAAAATATGTGACAACTTTTTTAACCCGTGAACTCCAAGTAAAAATAGTCATAATAATAATCTTAGAACTACAGAGCTCAAAGGGACCCTCTGGGTCATCAAGCCCAACCCGTATCAAGGAGGCACAGGACTGGCTGTGCTGGCTAGGATTTCTAGGAGTTGTAGTCCAAAAACATTTCTGAACCCAAGGTGAGGAACCACTAGATTAAAGAATCGCAGGAGGTTCTAGCGCTTACTGTGGGCCACCACATGGGTGAAGCCTCACAAGGGAAGCTAAGAAGCAATTATGCATCTGTGGGTCCATTATGGGTTACATCATCTGCAGTCCAAAAATGGTGGGATTCTTTCCTTTGTAAAGACCAAAATTACTGTCATTAGATGACCTATCATTAGATAACCTACCATGGGGTTTTGAAAGGCATTGGAACAAATTAGCAGGCAAGTCTGAGAGGGCTAAATTAATCCCTCAGTGTCACTAAAACCCATGGCCTGGAATAAGAGAAACACAGAGCTCTACTGTGTAAACTTTTCTTTCCATTATGCTGGTCAAATCAGTGTTTGTTGAGATGCATTGAACAGACGCATTGCGAATCCCAAGGAAGATAAAGATAAAATGATCACAGCCCTTTTCAAGACCGGCATAGTGGGAGGGAACCATGTTCAGACCAGGTATATGATAATGATCAGACTGGAGACGGTCACAGATGATGTCGGGACTTCTTGTCATACGGAAGATGAAGATTCTGATACTGGTACTATTCCACCTCGCACACAGAGCTTGCAAAGTACAGGATTCCAACTGCATAGGGACGGATTCTGAATATACTGGCCATGAGTGGAAACAGCCAAGTGAAATAGTCATTGGTGGCATTGTGTCTTTTTCTGAAATTCTTTTACCTGATCTTTACTTCACGATTCATCCTTCAAGGATGCCAAGTGGTCTTACACTGTAAGGAATTCTTCTTGCTCCTAAACCAGATCAATTCGGTGACGCTGGATTCCCGTACTCTGCTTTCTATGGTCTTTTTTATTTGGTATATGTTTCTGCATCCTCCTCATTTTATTTCATTGTATATCCACTATACTGTATGTGTGTTTGTGTTATATAACAATAAATTGAGCTCATACCTGGTCACGTGCTGGATTTTACAGCGATGAAATACGGGGATACTATTCTTTACTTCATTAATTAAAAAAAGAGTCAAACTTGAAATAAAGCACGGTTTATTAGATTCTATCAATGACATCTAATTAAAAATATTCATCTCTTTGTGCCAAAGAAAAAGATGAGATTGAAACTATTTATTGATCTAATACAATTCTATGCTTGCTTATAATGAGCTAACTCTATGGAATGTTTGTAGATGATGTTTATCATGATATTACTAATGAGTTCCCAAAGAGAAAGCTTGCTAACATGGCATTTTACTACCACATGGAAACAAAAGTTTGAAAAAATAAATGCTGGGCAGTAACTGGATTCTAGACCATTTAGAAGTTTAACAAATGTGAAAAATACAAAAACATTTGCTTAAAGAAACTGTCATTGAACACCTTCTCTTTATCAACTCACTGGGCATTTTCCACAGAAAAGTTTTTAATAATAGATAGTCTTGTGAAAATAAAAAATGAGGTTCTACTTTGGTTTTGAAGGTTCTCTACCACGGGATGCTTCTCAACCACAGAAAATATTTGAATAAGTCTGAGCTTATTTCTGCTAGATGAAAAGGGTGTATATTGATAGTCTACACAGATGCAGTGTCTTAAGTGGACTAGTGGACCCCGCTGTTACCTACTTTTTAAAAAAGAATCCAGCAGGAGACTAGCACATATTTAACATAGAGAAACTGCAGTCCCTGGAATTTATTCTCAGTAGCAGTCACTGAATGGAGCTTACAGTTCTTTTACATAACAAAAATTCAAAGCTAGCCACCCCAGCCATTTTAATTTCAGAAATGTGATTTGGAGAAAAGTGGGGAATAGTTTTGTATTTAATATTTGTAAAATGTTCAATTGTCTTTTCGTTCTTTAGAAATTAAAATAAAATTTAAAAAAATTTTAATTTCAGAAATAAAATTCAAAGGTGCATGTGCACTGAATAATTTTTAGGTTGTAAGTTTAACTATGAAGACAGCAGCATTCATAAAAATATCCTCTTTGAATGGATACAGTATTTCTGTTGTATGTAATCTTCAATGCATTATGATTACTATTTGGGCAGAGGATTGAACTGTTTGTAATGTATACAATTTAGAGATCAAATTCTATGGGAGCATCTCAGGAAATTGAACCCAAGACAATATATTGCATTCATGTCCACGGGACTTAACCTTGGCATCTGTGGCTAGACCGTGCCTTGCCTATGGATTCTGATTGTTCAACATCCTTTTTTACAGAGTGGTGACAAAATTCTACCAGTATATTCTTGCCTTGGTATTTGCCATTCGTGAGATTAATAAAAATCCCAAAATTTTGACAAATATCACTCTTGGGTTCCACATCTATGACACCTACTATGATGCAAGATTGACGTATCGTGTTACTCTAGACCTTCTCTTCAAGTCACATCAGGTTGTCCCCAACTACAGCTGTGATGTTGAGAAAAATCTAATAGGAATTATTGGAGGACTGACATTCCATACTTCCTCACAGATAGCAGACATATTGCATCTTTACAAGATTCCACAGGTAGGATCGTCCTTATTCTCACCTACATTGGTTTTTCTCTTTCTGTGGACTGTTCATTCAGCTCTTCATAACACACATCTTATTGCTAACACACTGTTAGTGGTGAATTGCAGAAAAGGTACAAAGGTAGTGCAGTACTGAATAACACAACAATAGTGAGTTTTGCAAATTACTGAAATTTGCTTCCAGAAAGTACATCATTTCAATTACACCATGAGTAGGATTGTGACTGTTGGAGATTGGGATTCATTTTTTATTAGGGATGTTTATGTTTCAGAAGGTGCTGTAAAGACATATCTGCTTTACCCCTTGCATTGATCTCTGTATTAAATTCAGTTCCCCTGGGTTGTTTAACATCTTGTCAAAGAAGGAAACATTGCCTTCAGTTTCGAGGTGAAATGTCTCCAAAACATGGGAGAATAGCACCATAGTTTCTATTTTTCAAACTGGTACAGATAGAATGAATGAAATTTTGAGTTTATGTCTGGGGAGGAGAATGGTCTTCGTGACCACTACTAATAAAACAATAGCAATGCTAACAGTGTTTCTTATGGAGAAACATTCACTCATAAAACCAAAGAATGTGTTCTTTCTACACAGCAAGGAACCGGATTTTTAAAAAATGTATCCTTTATCCAACATGTTTTGCTCATGGACAGATGAGGGGAAAAAAAAATCAAGTCTGCATTCAGTAAAATGTGACTTTTTTTTCTTCAGATAAACCTTTGAGCTTCAATAATAATGATAGGAGCCTTTGAACTGCAGAGCTGGAAGGGATACTATGGATCATTAAGGGAGGCGAGTCTCTCAGTAGTAATTCCAATAAAGGTAAATCAAATGTTTCTTCAAAATTAGAGAAACTTCACATGTCCTTCTCAATTCTTTTCCAGTTTTCATATGGTTCCTTTCGACCAGAAGTCAATAAAGAATCCAGATCTCCTTCCTTTTACCATATGTTTCCCAATGAAGCAATTCAGTACCATGGAATTGTCCAGCTGCTTCTCCATTTCGGGTGGACATGGGTTGGTTTCATGACTTTGGATGACGAGAGTGGAGAATATTTCTTGAAGACTATAGAACCAATGCTTTCCGATAAAGGAATCTGCTCAGCCTTCACAACCAAAGTTCCAAGTAACCTCCCTATGTCAAACTTCGTAGACATGTATTATTATATCTTGAACAGCGCCCCAGTTGTCATGATGAGCAAAGCAAATGTAGTTGTGTTATACGGAGACATTGTAGTCATCAGGTGGCTGACAGCCATTGCATGGGGAGTAAAACTGACAGAGATGGCATCAGGTGGAAAGGTGTGGATTATAACAGCCCAAACTGATTTTGCATTGAATGTGTTACACAAGATGTGGGATATTCAGTTCTTCCATGGTGCAATTTCTTTTAGTGTCCATTCAGAGGAGCTTCTAGGATTCCAGGAATTCCCTAAGAATATAACGCCATATAAGGCAAAAGACGATGGCTTTGTCACGGATTTCTGGGAGCAAGCATTTGATTGTTTCATGCCAGGTTCTCCGGAAGCAACAGATAACAGCTCAACCTGTACTGGAGAGGAGAAGCTGGAGACCCTTCCAAGGCCATTTTTTGAAATGACCATGACTAGCTTCAGCTACAGTATCTATAATGCAGTGTACACATTGGCAAATGTCTTAAACATTTACTTATCCATGGCTAGATATAAAAGACAGGAAGATGGGAGAAGATTGGTGCCTTTGAATGTGAAAGCCTGGCAGGTAATTTCTACTGTTACTCAAGTCTGCTGTCATCAAATCATAAAATAATGGAGTTGGGAGGGGTCCTAGAAGGCCATTGAGTCCAACCCCCTGCTCAAAGCAGGAATCCAAATCAAAGCAAATCTGAGAGATGGTTGCCCATTTTTCTCCTGAATGCCTCTAGTGTTGGAGTGCTCACCACCTCGTATGGTAATTGGTTCCATTGTTGTACCGCTCTAACAGTTAAGAGGTTTTTCCTGATATTCAGCTTAAATCTGTCTTTCTGTAGCTTGATCCCATTATTGCATGTTCTACACTCTGGGATGATCAAGAACAGAAATACTGTATAGTATAGACATATAGAATTATAGGATATATAGTCATGACAGAATATAGATCATGTTGATGTCACATCCATTGAAAATGGTCATCATGATGTTATAGCACTCATCCTCTTTGTTTTGAACATAGTCTAGTCTCTTAGATCGTTTTTCTTATTCCCTGTAGTTACATTCATATATTCAGAAGATGTCCTTCAACAACAGTGTTGGAAGAGAGATTATATTTAATGAGTATGGAGAATTGATATCTGGCTTAGATATTACAAACTTAGTCACTTTTCCTAATGGCTCCTATGCCAGAGTAAAGGTGGGAAAACTGGATCCTCAAGCTCTACCAGACAAAATGTTCTCCATTGATGAAGAGCAACTTCAGTGGCATAAAGATTTGATTCAGGTGGGGAAATATTTATTTATTTATTTTTATTTATTTCATGATTCAGGTGGGGAAATAATTATTTATTTTTATTTATTTATTTATTCTATTTATATCCCGCCTATCTGGTCAGTTATGACCACTCTCAAGAAGTGGTAGAAAATTCACAGCAGCAAAGAGGAAATTATTGTGTATGTAGTGTAGAATCATCATCATCATCATCATCGTCATCATCATCATCATCATCATCATCATCATCATCATCATCATCACCATCATCATGGGCTATTAAGTCAATTCTCACTTATAATGACCCTTTTCAAGGGTTTGGCAGGTAGGGAATATTCAGAAATGGTTTACCAGTCCATTCTTCTGGTGTGCCCTGAGACTGTACAGCTGGCCCAAGGCTACACAGGCTGGCTCTTCTCCCAGGAGCCACAACGGGGAATTGAACTCCCAACCTTTGGCTGCACAGCCAGATACCTAAACCACTGGGAAATCCATATAGCCAATGTAGAATAAATGCATAAAAGTAAAGGGATGCATCCACATGCATATGGGGAGTGAGATTACAAAGATGGCAGACCTTAAAAGTGCTTATAAGGGCATCTTTGAATTATCAGTAGAGGTGATGGCAAATATTGCCCTTGTTGGCCGACTATTTAATTAATCTGACTCTGTAGGATCTATTAGTGAGTGACTCATATTCATTTTGTCAAGCATGTGGCATTTTCTTGAGTTCTAAGGATGGTAGCCATCTCTTCCACTTAACAGGGATCACTTCTGCACACGTGTTTTCAATCCAAAGAGATAAACCTCATCTTTTTATTTTATTGGGAGTTCATGTATGTAATAGAACTGTTTTTTGGTTAGTTTTTTGAGTCTACATTTTGCTTTCTCCATAGGTGCCTCCCTCGTCTCTTTGCAATGAAAACTGTCATCCAGGATACGGGAAGCAAAAGAAGGAAGGGGAGAAGTTTTGCTGTTATGACTGTGTTCCTTGTCCAGATGGGATGTTCTCCAACCAGAAGGGTGAGCTACGCCTTGTAACAGTGGTTCCCAAAATTTTTCAAGTCACAGCTCCCTCCCAACCCTGGGGTGCCTCTCATTCATGCGCAGTTAATCCTCCTCTTTTGGTTTGGCTCACTGGTGCCTTCAGTCTCCGGCAGACGAGTGGGATCCCTCTTCCTCTGCAGCTGCCTGAGAGCCACCTCCGAGCCAGAGCACCTCACAAAGACCCAGAGCCAGAAAGAGCAGCTCTCGCCCCTACTCATATCCATTTCTGGCCACTCAGCCCCATCGCCTGTTGAGGTAGGTAGAGAAATGTGGGGCTGGCCTGGGCCACCTCTCATGAGGGTGGTGACAATGGTGGTGTGGATGGAGGTGCCCCCCACTTCCTCCCACCACCCTTGCTTTTCACGGCCCACTGATTGGTAGCTTGTGGAGTTGTGGCTGAGTGGAGCCACTGGGTGGGGTCAGGGACAGGCAGCTCCAAGGGCTGCAGGAGGCCACTTGGGAGACAGCAAAGTCCACCCACAAGCAAGCAGCCAGGGCAGCACCAAAACCGGCAGCACCAACCAGCTGAGAGCAACACAGCACAAGGAGGCACTTGGGTCAAGAGCACCAGATACTGCAGAGAAGCTGGGGCTGAGAGTCAGAATTCCCTTGCTCTCTGCTTCCTTCCCTTTCAAAGAGCCTTGTGGCACAGTGGTTAAACCACTGTACTGCAGCCAGACCTATGCTCATGACCCAGGGTTCAATCCCAGGTAGCGGCTCAAGGTTAACTCAACCTTCTATCCTTCTGAGGTCAGTAAAATGAGTGCCCACCTAGCTTGGGGGGGGGAGGCAATGTGTAGCCTGCATAATTAACTTGTAAACCGCCTAGAGAGTGCTTGAAGCACTATGAGGTGGTATATAAGCAGCATGCTTTGCTTTGCTTTTTGCTTTCCTATGGTGCCCCTCAGTAGACTCAGTGGTGCACCCAGGTATCATGGTGCACCCTTTGGTAAACACTGCCTCATAGAAGCATGGCCTCCATCTATAATGCAGCCAATTCCATTTAGAGGAGACCAAGACAATTTTGGAAGAGGTTTCAAAGAGTTTCCTTGAAATTTAGTTTTCCAAATATTTAGAAACTGACTTTGCAGGCAATGAAATATAAGGGGATAATATCGTAGAGTAAATTAAGGATGGGATTAGTTTTCGCCATTTTTCTAGTCTTCAATTAGAAAAGGGCAACATTCTCTCTAAGCGGGGTGCGTGTGCAGTACTGCATCGGTCCCACACAGCCAAGCCTCACATTGTGGCTTGGCTGCTCAAATCTCATGCAGCAATTATCCTTCCACAATCTTACACTTGCTCTTTGACTCCTAAGAGTATAATATCATTTCAGCAAAGTTTAGTAACCTAAATTGAGGAAGAGAAAAAGGGGGAAAAAAAGAATATCTCAACTCTATTCCAGAACACAAGAAGGCTGTATAAAGAGTGTACATCTCCTTTTCTTCAACTGACAGACGGCATTAGAGACACAAAGAATGGGTACATGTGATGATAGTAGGCTTAAAGGCCAAAAATCCATTCAGAGTAAGAGACCCTTATCTCTCATATATTCATTCATTTATTTTATTTGTTTTTAAGAAATACATGCCTACAGGATGAAAATCTGATAGTAGATTCCCTGGCTATTTGCACAGAAAACACCAGAATCAACCGTTGGAAGGATCAAATGTATTATCTGAGGTTTAAAACATGGCTCGTAGATTTGTGATTATGGCACCATTTGGCACAGCAGGTCTCACATTAGCTAGGTTGTTCAGAAGCTGTTTCTTAAGTCTAGTGAAGATTTATAACACCATGCAGAAGGCTATTCACAGCTCTTACTCATGGCAATTGCTTGGCTGGTTATAGGATGACAATCTTAACAAGGTATATACTCCTCTTTCAGTTGTGGATCATTGTGCCAAGTGTTCAGAAGATCACGTTCCAAACGAACAGCAAACCCAATGCATTCCTAAGATTCCAGATTTTCTCTCCTTTGAAGATCCTTTGGGCATTGTTTTATCTGCTTTGGCCATCTTCTTTTCTCTGGTGACCACTCTGGTCTTTGGAATCATCGTTAAGCACCATGACACACCCATTGTCAAAGCCAACAACAAGACCCTCACCTATATTCTCCTTGTCTCTCTCCTCCTTTCCTTCGTCTGCTCTTTGATGTTCATCGGAAAACCCAACGAGGTGACATGCCTCCTGAGACAAACAGGCGTTGTGATGGTCTTCTCAGTTGCAGTGTCTTCTCTTTTAGCCAAAACTGTAACCGTGGTTGTTGCTTTCGCTGCTGCCAAGCCTGGAAATATGTTCCAAAAGTGGGTAGGCAAAAAACTTGGAAATTTTGTTGTCTTGCTCTGCTCCCTTCTTCAAATGGGTATTAACACTGCTTGGTTGAGTACATCTCCCCCATATCCAGACATAGATGTCTACACAATGTCTGACAAACTCATTATTAAATGCAACGAAGGGTCTGTCACCATGTTTTATTGTGCTTTGGGCTACATGGGGGTCCTGGCTTTTTTCACCCTCATTGCAGCCTTTTTAGCCAGGAAGTTACCTGACCGTTTCAATGAAGGCAAGTTTATTACATTCAGCATGTTGGTCTTTTGCAGTGTTTGGGTGTCCTTTGTTCCCACCTACCTGAGTACAAGAGGGAAATACATGGTGGCTGTGGAGATCTTCTCTGTCATGGCCTCCAGCTGTGGTTTGCTAGCTTGCATCTTTTGCCCCAAATGCTACATTATAGCGCTAAGGTCTGATCTGAACAAAAAGGGCCAGCTAAGGGAGAAGGGGCACTGACGTGTCTAGCAACTAATTAGAGATGTGCTCCAGTATCAGAATAAAAGTTTCCAAATAAGGTAAAGCAGGTATATTTCTACATTACTGGAAAAGATACTGGGCAGTTCAAGACGTTTCCAGGCATACTTGGGACAATTTGCACACCCCTTGAAATCTTGAAAGTGTGTTGTGTCATATTTGGAATAAAAACTGCTAAAATTTGAATAATAGTTGACACCTGTTGTAGTAAAAGAAGGAAGCACCAAAGAACGAGGTGATTGACATCAGAAGCCCTAAAGAAGTCCAAAACCTCTTTTGGAAACCAACAGCTGAGCCTTGCAGATGATGGCCTAAAGCAAATCAGAGATGGCTCAGATACATCTCACTGGACTCCATTCACTCAACCAAGCCTTTTTGAACCCAGGTATGGCAAAGGGAGGTTGCTAAAACGAGGTGTGTGGTGCAGGATTCAGATTTCTGGTAGATGTGAAGCAATAGGGTTGCGTGAATTTGCAATGCTTTGATTCTGTTTTTTATTGTTGTTGTTGTTGTTGTTGGTTGTTGTTACCAACTAGCCTGACAAATAATCTGGGAAAAACTGAAAAACTGTAGTGGAATTACGGTTGGCCACAATAAAGATATTGCCTTCATATCTGTTTCTGAATAATATAATGCTTCTGACTTGCTTTCCATTATAAAGGTCCATTTCATTGTGATGAAGATTCTTATGAAAAGCCTGTTCCAGAGTATCTCTCTTGTCTTATTCCTAAATATTCAAATACAAGTACTTTATTTCTGTGTGCTTTGCTATAGAATTGTTGTGTTGTTAAAATCATACAAGCACGTTTCACACACACACACACACACACACACACCTCTGTTTCTTGCTTAGAATTCATGAACAAGGAGAGAAAATAGAAGAGGGTCACCACACTAAAAAAGCCATGAAATATCAGTTGAAACTTTCCTTTATTGCTTCATAGCCAGTCAGGCTGTACACACCCGTAAAAATTAGAACCGGTTAACTTCTGACAGGGGAAGATATGGAGGCAGTGTCAAATTTTATCTTCCTGGGCTCCATGATCACTGCAGATGGAGACAGCAGCCCTGAAATTAAAAGACGCCTTCTTCTTGGGAGGAAAGCGATGACAAACCTTGACAGCATCTTGAAAAGCAGAGACATCACCTTGCCGACAAAAGTCCGAATAGTCAAAGCTATGCTCCGGGAGGCAGTAGAAGACAGAAGGGCCTGGCGTGCTCTGGTCCATGGGGTCACGAAGAGTCGGACACGACTAAACGACTAAACACACACACACAACTTCTGACATAAATACTGTACATATAAACTATCAGAAAAGAATAAAAGAATAAAATAAGCTTTCTCAAGGAAGTATAGGAAGTATCAAGTTGTAAGATAAACTTATAGAGATCATGGTGCAGGTCATCAGTTCTGTCTTTCCATTGGTCATTTAACAGATTTGGCAGTCCTATAGGGTCAGAAGATCCGGCAGTCGTAAGATCGAATCCACGCAACGGAATGAGCACCTGTCGCTTGTCCCAGCTCCCGCCAACCTAGCGGTTCGAAAGCATGCAAATGCAAGTAGATAAATAGGGACCACCTCGGTGGGAAGGTAAACAGCGTTCCGTGTCTAAATCACACTGGCCATGTGACCACGGAAAGATTGTCTTCGGACAAAACGCTGGCTCTATGGCTTGAAGAGCGGGATGAGCGCCGCCCCCTAGAGTCGGACACGACTGGACAAAAATTGTCAAGGGGTACCTTTACTTTATAGGACAGTGGTCTCCAACCTTGGGCCTCCAGATGCTCTTGGACTGCAACTCCCAGAAGCCTTCACCACCACTTTTGCTGGCCAGGATTTCTGGGAGTTGAAGTCCAGGAACATCTGGAGGCCCAAGGTTGGGGAACACTGCTATAGGATATAAAATAGTCTGTGCCAGCTAAAACAAATAGAACTGTAAAGGGAAGTTATTCTTGATCCCAGTTGTTCAGAATTTAAGATATTGATTCCTGAAATCCGCATACAAAGGGTGTTCCGTGAGACAGGGTATCACGTCCTACATCTTAAATCATCCTGCTGAGAGATAACTGCTTATACTGTGTTGGTCCATATATCATCCCTGAAGCTCTTTCAAATGCCATGAGTTCAGTCTGCATTTAGTTAGCAGTCGTCTCAGCTCATGCAAGCTAATGAGGGACAAATATGGGGGCACCTTTCCAAAAGGCAAGGAGAAGCCTTTATATCACAGAGAGGCAACTCACTACAAATGGCTAATCTGGATGTCAAGGTCATATAATCTCTTATTAATATATTCTCGGGCAGGCTCATATGCCCTCCTGTGGAAGTAGGTGGCGAATAGCCCAGTTTAGACATATTTGTAAACGTCTTTGCCACCCAGGAGTCCCTTCGCTTTTTCTCATAGGCCAAGAAAACAGATGTGAGTCCATGTGGTAAACTATCTTGAGCCAAAACAAATTGACTGCTTTCTTAGCAAGAGCACTCACTGAGTCACACTATGTCTCAGACCTGACTGTGGTCTTGGAGGTAGATCTTAATGCCCTTAGTTCTCTGGTTAGAAATTTATGCTGGGCAAATTCCAATATTGTGATATTTGAAAGAGCCCATACTGGGGCTCTACTGAGCATCTGAGAAAATAATTTATCCATATACAGTAGTTTTAAAGGTGCCACCATTTTTCTGCATGATCTAGAAGAGAAGCTATGAATAACATTGGCAAATATGGTGGTGGTTCAGTTGAGGGCTTAGCTGAGACCAGGCTGTAAGTGTTGAAGGGCATCAGCCAGGGAGTGCAGTTGGAAGTGATGACTAATCACCACGGCCCCATATAGGTTTGGCTCCTGTACAAAATCGGTGCAGGAAGCAACTGTTGTTTTTGGATGCTATTGCTTGGGAACTGCTACATGGAATCTTCTGGATGTCTCTTGACCATCGGGCTGGACCTTGAAAGGTGCGATCCATGACAGATACCTTAGCTGACAGAGCTACAGGTTTTATGTGTTCTGACCATGTTCTTGAACTTGAAATGGCTTGGGCCCTAGATACTTGAAGGACCACCTCCTTCCATATGAGCCTACCTGGCAGTTAAGATCTTGTCAGGGGGCACTTTAGAAAGAGCCATCCCTCAAGGAGGTAAGAGGGATGGCTTGTAGACAAAGGGCCTTCTCGGCAGCTGCCCCCAGACTATGGAACGCCCTCCCAACTGAAATTCGCCTGGCGCCGACGTTGATGACATTTCGGTGCCAGGTCAAAACCTTCCTGTTCCAGAAGGCTTTTAATTGAAATAACATCAACTGTGGGTCCTGATGATGGCAATTTTAATTGTATTTTAATTGTATTTTAATCATTTTATTTTTATTGTATTGAATTTTAATTATTGTAAGCCGCCCAGAGACCTCTGGGTAGAGTGGGCGGCATATAAATTAAACAAACAAACAAACAAACAAACAAACAAACAAACAAACAAACAAACAAACAAACAAACAAACAAACAAACTTTTAAGTGCCATTCCAATGCATTTATATGAGATGGTCTATTCAGGCAATTTGCTCTTCAACTGCCATCTGTATTTCTTCCTCCTTTCCACAAAACTATTTTTCTTGCGTGTGCTTTTGCTGTCATTTACCTGGACGTGTTCCTTGGTGCAATAAGTACCTAAGACCCTTCATAGTCTTTGCATCCCCACCTGAGTACAGGACAGAAGGATTGCCTAGACCGAGCATCATAGATTGATTTGTTGTTATTATTATTTCTTTATTCTTCTGAGCTGCTCTTTGCTGTTCAGCTCAGGCCTGAGCAAAATCATATAGCTTTTGGGGAAAAATAAGCTTATCAGTAATCCAGCACTGGAAGCCAAGATGGAGAAGATCTCCACAGCTACAGTGTATTTCCCTTTTGTACCCAGGTAAGCGGGAACAAAGGAGACCCACACACTGCAAAATGCCAGCATGCTGAAGGTGATGAACTTGGCTTCATTAAAAGTGTCTGGTAGCTTCCTGGCCAGAAAAGCCACAGTGAAACAGACTAAAGCCAAGAGACCTATAAAACCTATGCTGCTGTAGACCATGATCACTGAACCTTCATTGCATTTCAGAACAATTTCTTTGGTCATTGATTGCATGTCGAAATCTGGAAACGGGGGAGAGGTTGTCAGCCATACAGTACAAATGATTGTTTGAATAACAGTGCAAGAAAGAACAATGGAGTAGGCAAGTGGTTTCCCCGTCCATTGCCTCATTTTGGACCATGGTTGAGTGACCTTGAATGCTAAAATCACAAGAATGGTTTTTCCCAACACACATGATAGAACTACTGTAAACACGATGCCAAAAACACTTTGTTGGAGGAGACATGACACAGGCTGAGGCCGGCCAATGAAAAGCAAAGCACATTTGAATGAAAGTAGGAGGGAGATGAGTAAAATGTAGGTGAGATTCCTGTTGTTGGCTTTGACTATGGGAGTGTCCCTATGCTTAATGAAGATCCCAAGCAGCCAAACCGTGATGAAAGAAAAGGAAAGAGCAATAACAGCCAGACTGATCCCCAAAGGTTCTTTGTAGGACAAGAATGTTACAGATTTTGGGATACATAAATCTTGGTTATTGTTTGGGTGTTGTCTTTCTGGGCACTGAAAACAGTTGTTCATGTCTGGAAAAAAAAAGGTAAAGCATTAAATATATGTATGTGGCCTGTTTCAAAGTTAAGCGCACAGTCAGAGTGCTGAAACTTTTCATGGATGTGTCTTAAGGCATCATAGGTCAAATCTGAGATGTACAACTGCAGCTTTCTGATTCAGCTTTATTTGCACAAAACCATATACAGTACGGAGATGCTCAAAGAGTAACTCAGGTTGAAAGTTCTCTGTGACCAAGGATGTCAAAGAGTGTGTTCTCTTTCTCTGGATATTGGAGGCGGAGTTAAATCTTTCTACTTCACCTTCAGTCAGTCTTTTGTTTAAATATTTCTCTGGTTCCAGTTAGATTGAATGATTTTATAGAATAAGTCCAGTCGTATCCAACTCTAGGAACTGATGCTCATCCCTGTGTGTAAGCTGGTGTTAGTCCATAGACACTTTATGTGGTCATGTGGACGACATGATCGGAACACCGTTACCGTCCCACCAAGGTGGTACTTATTCATCTGCTCATATTTGCATGCATTTAAACTGCTAGATTGGCAAGAGCTGGGACAAGCAATGGAAGCTCACCCTGTTGTGTGGAATCAAACTGTTGACCTTCCAGTCAACAAGCTCAGCAGTTTAACCTGCAGCTACGTGTCTGCTATGTATGCATTAAATATATGTATGTGGCCTGTTTCAAAATTGAGGCACAGTCAGAGTGCTGAAAGTTTTCATGGATGTGTCTTAAGACATCATAGGTCAAATCACCCCCTCATTCTTCTTTTCTCAAGGCTAAACATGCCCAATTCTTTCAGCCTTTCCTCATAAGGCTTGGTTTCCTGTCCCCTGATCAGCCTTGTCACCCAACTCTGAACACATGAATAATAGTAATTATATGCTGCCAAGTAGATATGGGATATTCATATTTGTATCCTAAGTGCCTGGGACTTTCCCCCTGAACCGGCAGTTCCACTTACTGCTTGCCATGCAACATGTGTGGCTGGCATAGTTCTCATTGCATCAATCCAGGAAGCAGTCTGGTTGGTGCTTGCCTGTCTCCCCACACAGCTGACTACTCAACAGTTGAGCGGGGAGACTCTTCATCCTGTCTCCTTGCTTGAGTGGTCAGCTGCATTGCATCAAGAAGCAGTCTGGTTGGTGCTTGCCTGTCTCCCCACACAGCTGACTACTCAACAGTTGAGCGGGGAGACTCTTCATCCTGTCTCCTTGCTTGAGTGGTCAGCTGCATGGGGTGGGGGTAAACCAACAGCCAGGCTGCTTCCTGGATTGGCGTGAAAAGAATGATGCCAGCTGCACCCACAGTGTGGTGAGTGGTAAGTGGAGCTGCTGGTCCAGCGGAAGGGCCAGGTTTTTGCAGGCACCCGTGGCGCTGATATTGGTATTTGTATCCCCAGGGTTACGAATACAAATATCTCGTGTCTGCTGCCAAATCTTTTCTAATTCATGGCAATCCTCACAAGGTTTTCTAAGTAAAAATTACTTAGACATAGTTTATAAGCCACTTTGTCTGTCATTTTATGGGTTGCCGAAGGCTGCACAGATGGTCGGGGATATGCCTCCCTCTGCAGACACACTCCAGGCAATCTTCGATAGACTTTCACAGAGAAAGCAAAGTGAGGATTTGAACTTCCAACCTATGTTTCCACAACCAAATGCTGTAGCCTGCTGAGTTGCATCAGCACAGACACATGAATGTGTTGGAGTTTTTTGTAATCTTGCATGCTGCCTTTAGAAGGTTTGGCTGGGAGGGACCTTTCTGGGCTGGGACGACTGTCAGTCACTAACAGTACTAACCAATTGTTCCCTCCTGCCTCTGAATTCAAAGAGAACCCTGTCTCTCTGCTCTGTATCTCTTTCCCTCTCAGTGAGTCTGTTGGGGCCTATTGCTGAGGTCAGCCATGTTGTTAGCTTGCTGTTACTTATTCACTGTAAGTAAATGCAGCATTCTTATTCTTTCTCTTACTGATGTTCCCAATTGAGTTATTAATATTGTAACTACCAGTTGATGAGAAAAAGAGGTGGACTCAGCGAGGGAGTTTGAAACTATTCTGCTCTGTGAATCCCTGCACTTTTGGAAATTCAAAAACCATGCAGCTGAATTGGGTGTCTCAAAATGTAACTTTTGCCAATACAGAACTATGAGCAGCTTTTTAAGCACTGGAGAAATACAGGTACTGTACAGTGGACCCTTGACTTACAGACGGCTTGACTTACAGACTTTTTGAGTTACAGACTTCTCTGGGCGCAAAATTTAGGTTTGACTTGCAGCCTGAGAATTGACTTACAGACCAGAAAAAAACCAAAATGGAACAAAAACGGCCTGTTACAGGATTAATCGGTTTTCAATGCACTATAGGTTAGTGGAGACTTGACCTACAGACTTTTTGACTTGAGAACCGCCTTCCAATACGGATTAAGTTCTCAAGTCAAGACCCCACTGTATACAAATCTTGATATCTGCTTCTTAGATCACATTCAAGAAAGTTAAGATCTCAGAAACTGAGATTTCTTACCTGTTTCATTTGAAATCATTCCCTCTGGACATGGAAGACAGTCATAGCAACAAAATGGCTCCCTTTCCTTTATCCTTTTGCTAAAACCCTCGTGACAGTTATCGTTACACAGAGAAATGGGGATGGACTGTGTGTTGAAAAAAAAAAGAATATGCATGTTTTAAACTTGTTGAGTACATTTAGTTCACAATTTACAGCTTGATCCACTATTAAGAACCAAATTAAAATGGAGAGATTGGAGTTAGCATAAACGTAAGAGAATAATTTAATAGTGTGTACTACCTGGGCTTTAAGTTAGTCAACCTGTAAGAAGGCACAAAACAGAGTAAAAAAGAACGGTGGCTCAAAGGTTAGAAGCCAAAATCTCACCAGTTTTTATCTTCTTAACTACAAAAAAATGATTTACTGTGAGATCCAGGTGGGAAGGTAAAGGCATTCCGTGTCTAGTCGCGCTGGCCACATGACCATGGAAACTGTCTACGGACAAACATTGGCTCTACGGCTTGGAGATGGGGATGAGCACCGCCCCTTAGAGTCAGACACAACTGGACTAAATGTCAAGGGGAACTTTTACCTTTACCAGGTAAATCAAAAAGCACAAGATAAAGCTGCTAGATAAAGCTCATCTGTCCAGTCTCCTGGAATTTGCTCTTGTCAACCACCTGGTACTAAGTACAGGAGCTCCCCAGGGCTGCGTGCTAAGTCCTTTCCTCTATTCCCTGTACACACATGATTGCACCCCACTATATAACACCAATGCAATTATTAAATTTGCGGATGATACAACAGTGGTGGGACTCATAAATAAGAACAATGAGTCTGCTTATAGAAAGGAAGTACAAAGATTGATACTATGGTGTAAAGAAAATCATCTCACACTTAACATCAAAAAAACTAAAGAACTCATAATTGATTTTAGGAGGAAGAGAAATGTACATTTACCACTGTACATAAACGGTGAGGAAGTGGAGAGAGTTGGTAGTTTTAAATTTCTGGGTACTTACATCTCAGAGGACCTCTCATGGACTATAAATGCCAACATGCTAATAAAGAAGGCACAGAAGAGGCTGTATTTCCTGAGAATGCTCGGCAAGTTAAATTTATCTCAGCATTTGCTTCTGTCATACTATCGTAGCACCATTGAGAGTGTCCTAACCTATGGCATTCTGGCATGGTTTGGGAGTAGCTCTGTAGCGGACAAAAAAGCTCTACAGTGGGGTCTTGACTTGAGAACTTAATCCGTATTGGAAGGCGGTTCTCAAGTCAAAAAGTTCTCAGGTCAAATCTGCATTTCCCATAGGAATGCATTGAAAACCATTT